AATTGATCCACGACATTTTGAAAAGCCTCATCTCCAATAACCAAGAGATCATCGTTGACCTGAGTGATTTGGGCAACCAGCTCCGCCCGAGTCGACAGCTTCTTAATCTCCTCGGTCTCATCTTCAGCAGGGGCAACAACGACCTTTAGCTTTTCCACCAAGTCCTCAACAACCTTCTTTTGAGCAGCCAGGGCGTCCCTTTCCGCAGACATCTCCTCATGACCCTTCCGCGCAGCTTCTTCAAGCTCCCTTTCCTGCTCCTCCTAGAATTTCTTGACATTCTCCTCCAAGGCCGCCACCACATCTTGGGGTTTCTTTAACTCAGACTCGTGCTAAGAGCCGTCCTCGGTATACACCACTGTCATCTCCAGGATCCTCATCAAGGCGGAGGCATCCTGCGCGAGCATGACCCGCTTGCTAGGACAATCCATTTCCTCGAGCTCAAGAGGTTATGCCCGAGGAATGGACAGGGAAGACCCCTCAAAGAACTTCCTATTGTGCAGACAAGGAGACAACTCGAACTTGCTTTTTTCCCTTTCTCGGCTGAGGTCCACAATTTCATTCGGGCGTACACGCTTGAGCCTCAAACTCACGGGCATGGGAGACGTCTGAGGGGATGGTGAGGTAGACGAGGAAGTCCTTGATCCTGTATGGGGAGGAGCCGTTCGGTGACTAAGGTGGCTTTTTTCTATGGCCACTCTCCCTTCATCTTTCCATGGACATTCTTCACCATCTGTTCTTGCGTAGAAGACATATTATATGCAAAAACAACGAGCACATCAACACGTGAAAAAGATGGGCATTTCCAATAAAATAAGAAGCAGGAAGATACCCAAGAGTTTAAGAGCCTCCTCGCGAATGCTACACTCGAGGAGCTCTTTCGTATTGATATACCGAGCCTCCACCTGTAGCCCCCCATCATCTTCATAGAGCACCTTCCCAGCACGATTCACGCACTGGGCGGGGAAGAAGCCGTCCACAAAGACCACCAGCTTAGCATATCTAGCCCGATCATCGTCCCCCAGCTAATTAAGAGTAACTATATACTCATCAGTTGAACGGGTGAAACGAGCCCCACTCCAACAGAAGGGGAACATAAATAGTCTCCGAGCAATTATCCTGCCCTCATCGTCTATCAGATCCTCCTCGTTCTCATCCGTAGAGACCTCCCAGACGAAGGTATAGTCGGTAGATGTCTCTGACACATGCTCGATCACGTAGAACCTCTCTTTAAAGGTCTGAATAGACTCAGAGAAGGGTTTAAATAATTTCCTCCCCTGTTTCAAAGAAACACAACCAAATTTCCTCCCCGACACCTATCGCTGAAGGTGGAAGATGGTGAAGAAAAGCAAAAAAGTAGCCATAATCTGCAAATACTCGCACACTAATTCGTATGCCCACATGAAGGCAATAGAATTCAGATGCAGCTGGGAGGGTGCCAAATCCAAATGAATAAAGACTGCCCGCTGGAAGTCTGTGAAGGGCAACCTCATCCCTATCTTTTTGAAAGCATACTCGTACATGTGAAATCTCTCCCTGTACGACGAGCATATACGATCATCCTCCGCGGGGAAATGAACCCTCCACTCTCCCTCTGGCCCCACCGTGGTAAACACATCCCTAATGTATGAAGCAAAAAAGCGAGGCATGCTCCATTAGTTCGACCACAATCCACTCGTCAGCCGAGGTCCTCGCAGCAGACACCCCTTCAGCCTCAGGGGGTGTGGAGTCATCATCCGTTTCAGTATCTTCTGAGGAGCTCTCCTCAGACAAATCTCTAAGATGTTCTTTTTCGACAGCTCTACGCGACATTGCCTTTGTCTGAAAAGCAGAGGATAAAAGTGAACTCGATGACAAAATTAAATCCACCCTTCCACTGCTAGTCAAGTGAAAGGGCGCGTAAAGGGCCAAGGACAACATCCTCGACCTAAGCCCTACTCAAATGGCACAACTAAATAAACGAAGAAGTGCCTGAGAGTTCTCACTTGCACATCCAGGGAAAAGTCCCCGCGCGCAAAACCCAGATTTCTCATAAGGGAACCACCAGAAAGCTCATAAGCACACCAGAATCCATGGTTCCCTCCGGTGGTGAATACCATTGTGCCGCTACTACTCCAGGATCAACTAAAAGCTTAAGGCTTCCTAGGTTCTCCCTCCCTAAACGGTCACTACAATGCCGACAACAGTGAAAGTGGCCAAACCACTATTTGCCACTAACTGCCACCACTAAACGCCCTAGAACTACTTTGTTTCAACCCTAACCGCATGCATTCTAAAGTGCAAAAACCAAAAAAACAGATGGCAAGCAAAGAGTCAGCGTACTTACTTGGTCGGAGAAGAAACTTCTGGATTTGAGTAGCTCTGGTCGGACTTGGTGCGATGGTCAGAACGAAACTTGACGGTGGCGGACGACTAGAAACGATGAAAAAAGAACAAAGAAGAAAGAGAAGTGAAAGTTCAAAATGAGCAGACTCTCTCACTATTTATAGGTAAACTCCATGCACGTGCACGAGCACACACGGATAGGGCATCATCATGACCCTAGCCTAGCCATCATTATGCATTTAATGTAGCATATGACTTGAGGCACATATGACGCTCCCACTCTTTAGATCCCATCAACCATTGGTCTCCCCGAACCTCAAGCTCCCCAACAAACAACGTTTCAGATACCCGGGCACAGATTCCTTTAGGCACAAGGTAGCTTCAACGACTTTGCCCAAGAAGCGGACTGTCCTTAAGTCATCACTACCATGCTCGGTAGCCACGACTTAGGGGGCTATTGTTCTGGACTGGCCCAATCCGCATCTGCTCCCAGAACGACCCAATTGCCTAAGTCCAATCATTTTAGGAGAGAATTTATCTTTCTTCCCCTCCAACAGGAGAGGCTGATCAGTTTACCCTTGGTCACAACACTTCTCCTCGTCAGTTTCTGTCCGTCACGAACGATTTCACCATCCAGAAACAGCCAAGACGCATGTGCCCGTAACTACCTCCCTACCCGTAGCAACAACTAGTTATGGGTACTCCTGCCCGTTCCAACGGCTAGTTCTGGCAGTTACTTATTTTTCGGGAAACGGTTATCTAGCTTCGAAAATAGGGACCAATGGTCAAGTGCTGGAGGCATTATAAAAACCCTTTCACTCGAGAGGGCCAGATATCCAATATTCACCCTAATATACTCATATTTTGTACTTGCTCTCTTTCTTGCTCGCTTTCTTACTTTAGCATCGGAGGATCTTGCAGGTACACCATTTTCCTGCTCTTTCACACTCAGTATCATAGACGATTGTCTTTGTCCCACCTCAGGTTTTGATCAACCGGTAAGACCAACTACTTTATAGAAGATGAATCATATAAAAATCGTCACTAATGAAGAAAGACACCGAAGATGTATGATTGCAATTAACTTATCTAATAAATTTATTCTTTCACCAAAATCAATCATACATGTTGTTTGAGATTGGGATGATGTGAAATCTTTATGAAATGTCATCATAAAACTGGATTATTGGACCATGTTTTTCAGCCTATGTAGTCTTGCATGGTTGGAATGAAACTTATCACCCAACAATTTGAATAACAGTGTTTGACCATGAAACCTCAATTTTTGAATTGAGTTAATCATCTTTGGAAGAATTTCAATTCTCTCATATTCTCACAATAATCAAATATAAGTTATACTCTTTAGTCTAAAATCTTAAATCAAATTAAAAATAATCATAATTCATGAATACCAAAAGAATATAGATAATAACACTAGTAGTGTTAATTGGACTAAACCTCATATTGAAAATTTTAAATGAATGTTGATGCTCATTCTTTTGTTAATAGCTTGTCAGCACCCATGGTAATTTTATGAAAGATTTTTTTTACAAGATTAGTTCAAATAGTTCGATTTTACTTTTCATAGCCAAAATTGAAATAATACTCTACTAGATGGACAAATAAATGTTTTCATTTAACTTTATCTCATAACCTTATAAATTTTTTATTTATTTTGTCGATTTAAGGTTATGTTTGGATAATTTAAAAATAACGGAGCGGAGCGGAACATAACGAAATAGGATGGAGTGGAATGGAACGGAACAGAATATAAACTCCATTCCACTGTTTGGATATTTTACAATGGAGCGGAACTAATATCTCATTCCACTGTTTGGGAATTGGACGGAGCAGAAAGCATTATAACTTTTTAATTTCATTTTTACCCTTTGCTACAATATTGATAGATCCAACATTCTCACACTAAAATAATATATAAGTAATCATAGAAAAATATCAACTTAACATTTGCAAGAAATTAAAACATACAGTAATAAATTAAAATGTTCATAGATGAAACATAATTATTATAACTTGAAATTGCAAAGACCAAATGCACAAGTTTTGATCAACACCATACTGGATAATCATAGTAATTCATAAACAAGATCAAGTTTTGTTAAAATTAAATGATAAATATATGTCTATAGTAGATAATGATATCAAGTCTTACTAATAAAAAAGACAAATATTGATCCATAATAGATAATGAATAGAAAAATATCACGCTGATTGAAATAAGAAATATGAACGGTTAATAATAAAAGTGAAAATTTAAAGGATAAAATTATAATTGTTTTATTAATGGATTCCATTCCATTTGATACACCCCAATTTGGAGAATGAAAAATAGGCCAAAATAGTGGTATTAGATGAAATGTGTTACATCATATTCCATTCCATTTAATTTTTATAACTCCAAACAATAGAACATAACTCCACTCCATTTCATCCATTTCCATCACTCCAAACATATCCTATATATATTATATATGTATTAAATTAAATTTTTACACCTAATTTTAATTTTCCCCGAATAGTCAATTACATATCCAAAGAACACACAATTCCAAGCCGTATATATAAGCCTCTAAACCCTAACAAATCCATGTTGCCACATTAGCGACCTAAAAACCCTTTCTCTCGCCTCTCATTTTTTCTCATCCATAACCAAAATGGTGAAGAGAAGCAAGAGTCAGTAAATCGATTTCATCTCTAATCTGTATCATCGTTATTGTTATCATTGTTTAATTGAATCCACTGAATTGCTTTGATTTGCAGAGAGTAAGAGTAAGAGGGTTCCATTGAAGAAGAAGTACAAAATCCTGAAGAAAGTGAAAGAGCATAACAAGAAGAAAACCAAAGAGGCTAAGAAGCTTCTTCAAAGTGGTAAGAAGAAGGTTGAGAAGGATCCTGGTATTCCCAATGATTGGCCTTTTAAGGAACAAGAGCTCAAAGCACTTGAAGCTCGCAGAGAAAAGGCTATTCAGGAATTGGAACAAAAGAAAGCAGATCGTAAAGAAAGGGTATTGTTTTTTCTTTTCAATTTGTATAAAGTTTTGAAATGAAGAAAAAAATAATTTGATGTTTTGATTTGTTATGATTTTTGATAAGTAAGTAATAGTATTATAAAATAATGGGAAATCTTCAATTCTATAGTAGAAGTATACTATGAGGATTTATTGTGATTCACTATGGTTTGTGAAATATTAAGAAGGAAAAATAATGGGAGATTTTATTTGATAATGAATTTTTGAGATAGGCATCTGCAGGTTTCTAGTTGAAGTATACTATACGAGTTTATGAACTTTTAGATTTCACTACTGTATTAGGCATTATACTGTATTAGACATAAGTGTGTGTGTGTGTTTGTGTCTGTGTTGTGTTCCATTTGTTTTTCTTTCTAATGAAACCCTCTTATCCTGAGAAATGGTGTTTCGATTCGAATTCCCTCTGATACTAGTATACTTCAAAGATGTCGGTATGTTTATATCATGTGTTAAGCCTGATATAAGTGGCTTTACAAAGTTAGAAATCCTTTATAGTTTTGTATGCATTGTATGGTTTCCGCTTTTATAATAATTTGAAACTTTACCATGCCAACCATTGTTTCAGGCTCGTAAAAGGAAGTTGGGCTTGCCAGTGGATGATGATGACTCCAAATCAGTTGAAACAGCTTCTCTAGAAAATGTTGCCACTGCTGCCAAGACTAAAGGTATTTTTATTTTGCATATGCTGCAAATTTTCTTCTGGTCAAATATTTTTGCCTTACTTGATTACTTGTCTTTTATTCATTGTGTTTTTATTTCTTTTATTTCAGTTGATAGTTCGGATAGGGCCTTTTACAAGGATTTGGTAAAGGTTATTGAGGCATCTGATGTCATACTTGAGGTCCTTGATGCCAGAGATCCCTTGGGTACTCGCTGTGTTGACATAGAAAAGATGGTGATGAAAGCAGGACCTGAGAAACGCCTTGTGTTGCTTTTGAATAAAATTGGTAACTTTCCTGATCACGCTTCTCTCCCTTTTCGCCCTTTAGGATTTTCTTCCCATTGAGTACTCATTTGTGCTTTTAATTCAGATCTTGTTCCTCGAGAATCTGTCGAGAAGTGGCTTAAGTACCTTCGAGAAGAATTACCTACTGTCGCTTTCAAGTGCAGTACACAACAGCAACGATCAAACCTAGGGTGGAAATCTTCTAAAAAAGTCAAACCAAGTAATACTTTGCAATTGAGTGATTGTCTTGGAGCTGAGACACTTCTCAAACTATTGAAGAATTATTCAAGAAGTTACGAGGTAACAGAAGATCATCTTTACATCCAATGTTAAAAGCTCTACTTGCCCTGCCTCGTTATATTTTATGTTCATATTTTAAAAAGCCAATATGTTTGCAAGTGTTTTTATAATATGGTTGAATTATATATCATTTTTTCTTATTCTGATTCAGCAAATTTAGCAGTTAGTATAATTAAACTGAATTTTGCAATTTTTATGGTGTAATAGAAATATCAATCTCAAAATATATTTTATTAAGTTTATCTTCAATTGTAGTGTTGGTGTTATTCAATTTGTTTTAAGTCATATATTTGATTTACATTACCTTCTTCCATTTGCTTGTTTACGTATGCACAGATTTGACATTTTTATGTTTGGATATAACATATTCCATGATACTTTTCATTTTATATTGGGCTTGATCACACAGCTAAATAACGTTGAAAGCTTTTAAGTTAGAAGAATATGCTTTATGTGATGGTGTTATTTCTATTCAATGGAGATGCTACATTTGATTGACTATTTTGTTTCCACTCCCCATTCTTGTAGCTTCACTTCTAGTCTTATAATTTACGGTTCTTATCTATTTTGGCTTTGTCTTTCACAGATCAAGAAGTCAATCACTGTTGGTTTGGTTGGACTGCCCAATGTTGGTAAGAGTAGTCTTATTAACAGTTTAAAGAGATGCCATGTTGTCAATGTTGGTGCCACTCCTGGGTTAACAAGGTCAATGCAAGAGGTTCATTTGGACAAAAATGTTAAGCTGCTGGATTGCCCTGGTGTTGTTATGCTGAAGTCTCAAGGAAATAGTGCTACTATTGCGTTAAAAAATTGTAAGAGAATCGAAAAGTTAGAGGATCCAATTGGCCCAGGTACTTCAAGTCTTTTCCTTCTCCCATTATTTAATCTACACATTTAGTTCTTTATATTGGATTAATGCTACTGGAAATGGAAGGTTGAAGCTTTATGTCCTCTGTATCACCTAGGTTTCTCTTTATCAATAATATATTCCTAATCCTATCTTTTTTGCTTTCTAATTTTTAAATGTCATAATGCCAATTTATGTTATTTTTTAAGTTGAATGCTTGGCTGCATGTTTCTTTTTCTGGATGTATAAATAGAAGTTTGGTTTATTGAAATCATGTGTTAAATGTTTTGAAGCCTCCTTAGAATTTTAATTTTGAAATCTAGACTTTTAGGCTCTATTATGAAGTCTAATCCTTTTTTCACTTTTCTTCGACAACGCAGTGAAAGAAATTCTCAAGCTCTGTCCTGCCAGGGTGCTGGTAGCTCTTTACAAGATTCCAACTTTTGATTCAGTTGATGACTTCCTACAGATTGTGGCTACTGTTAGAGGCAAGCTCAAGAAGGGTGGAATAGTTGACATTGAATCTGCTGCAAGAATCGTTCTTCATGATTGGAATGAAGGTATGCTTATACATAATGGATTACGCTAGATATACTAGAACATGTTTCTTTCGAAGTTGAAAATTATGAAGAATTTGGTCTTGCCAAAAGTAAGAAAATTTTTTGATCGCGCTGTTTCAGGTAAAATACCATATTATACTATGCCCCCAGTTAGTGAACCAGAACCTTCAGAGGCCAAGATAGTTTCAGAGTTTTCTAAAGATTTTAACATTGATGAAGTCTACAGTGGTGAATCTTCTTTTATTGGGACCCTTAAATCGACTGTTGACTTGGATCCTGTTGAAGTTCCTTCAAGTTGCCCTCTCAACTTTGATGAGACAATGTTAGAGGTATGCTTTTGATGTTTCTGCTTCTGTTTTATTAAATATGTTGAAACGCTACTATTAAAAAAGGCCCTTGGAATCTTACACATTTATCTTAAGGTCTGTTTGGTTGGAAGGAACAATTATTATAAATAGTTATTCGATTTAAATTTTGTTATTTGGGGAATTCAAGATCCTTTTCGTAATAACATAGTTTTAGTCTGTTTTTAATTAAAACATCTTACCCTCTTACAATTTGTTTTTCTAGGATAATGAACATGGTACTTTGCCAAAACAAGATGAAGCTCCTGAGAAAATGGCTGACAATGATGAGGACGAATCCATGGAATCTGATAAAGATGATGTTAGCAAGGACAAAGGTAAAACTGCAAGTAGTAAACAAAATGAGAAGTTATACACAGCAGATGGTATACTTAATCCAAAATTAAGGCGGGCAGAGAAGAAGAAAAAGAAGAAGGCTAACAAAGCCGGTTCATCTGATCCCATGGATGGTGATTATGACTTCAAAGTTGATTACTTCAAAAAAGACACAATGGACGTTGAAGGTGGCAGCGGTGATGACGACAATGATGGTGATGATGAACAAGTTGACTCCGAGGTTCCCATGTCTGGTGTTCAGGTTGATGAATGATTAGGATAGACATGGTTTAAGGTTGCGCTTTAGAACACCGGCTTTGTTTTTCACTATCTTAAATTGTTGCATTAGTTGATACAGCTATTGTATATACAATTTTGGCGAGACAGGAACTAAGTTCTGGATATGTTAGAACTGAGGCATTGCAAAGAGGATTTGTTTTCAGATATTTTTTCTATGTTTCGAACATGACTTGTTTATTTCTTAGGCGTTTGATAATTCAGGGGGATGTTAAAAATGCTTAAGGCTAAGCACTGTTTAACAAATTACTCAATTTAAATTCTATTTATTGAAACAAATTGTGTTCAGTGGAATTATATAATTCTATAATTTCTTGTCCAATTCAGTTTTGATATCTGTTGCGTGAAAATTTTAAATTTGTTTTAATTTCACACTGGTGTATATGAAAATCAAGTTTAGTAATTACATTAGTTTTATTATTGAGCTTGTTTATTACCCCATATGTTTTTTTTAAATTAATAAATCTATGCATAATTGAGTTGTTTTAATTAAGTGTTTTTTCACAAAACAGGTAACAATTCATCATCCCCTTACAACAGAATTGCTCTTTCCATTTCTAGTGGTTCTCCTCCACCAATTTGAAAAGACTGCACTTTTTTTTATGCACAATTGAGACAAAAGGTTATATCGGATTTTGTAACCCTCTTAGTTCATTAGTATGTGATCTTTTTGAAAATGTATCTTTGTAATATGCTCAATTATTTCAAACCAGGAATGTGTAGAAACAATGGTAGAATAGATAAACATTGCATAAATTTAATATTACATGTCAATGGTTCAGGATGTTACAATATCCTTATAAGTTATAATAAATTTGGCTCATCTTTGAATTGTTGCTTCCATTTCAATCAAACCATCATACGTCTTAAGTTTAAGCATGGTGAACTGAATCTCCCCTTCGTTGTCAATCGATGAACAGTAGTCGAACTTAACAATTTTCTGATATTTTGAATATCACGGAAGAGTATTCAGTTTCGTTTTCAGATCGAAGAAAAATATGTCCTTGGAGACCCTAAATTGAAGTGAGGGATTTGTGCCATTGAAATACACAAATGCAAGACATGGATATGGATTCATTCTGGTTTTTGTAAAGAAAATGAATGAGAGACCCTATTTATAGAAACTGTAGATCTTTAAGGACCTTACAAATCCTATCATATAATTAGGGCAAAATTCAGAGATGCATCTCAGGATCCGCCTTTCTTTTTCTTCAAAAAATAAGGGTTTATCCAGATATGCATCTCCGAATGATCCTCTGTGTTGTTTTTTTTAAATAATTAGAAGGTGTATCCATAAATGCATCTTTGGAGGATCTCATGTATTTTTTTTTTAATAATTAGGTTTGACCGAAGATGCATCTCCGGAACCACCAAAAAATTATGCACAACAAAATCAATGTATTATGTAGAGCAGATCTTTAAAATACAAAAAACATCCAAAAAATATCATCAAAATTTATAATATTATGCAGTGCGTTACATACAAAAAACATGTTACATTGTTAGATTACAACTAAAATACATCAAAACATATGTCACTTCCTAAATATATTGGTGGTTCATTCTTCGGTCTTTTCTTATATGTTTTTCTTTCATTGTCGTTCAACTTGGTAAAGTCTCTCATCCTTTATAAAAAGTGATTCGACTAAGTTTCAGCATCTTATGTGAAATGTGTCATCCACTCCAGTGATGTCTTTGGTATAGGACATCCCAGTTTCAAATAAACCTGAACAAAATGTTGTTGTTTTTTTATAGCCAACCAATACATGATGCATTCAAATGGATTTTGAGGTGACTTACTCCTAAGTGAAAAAATATTTCTGAGAAACCATGTCGTGTTAAAATAATACACACCCTACTATAAGCACTTACTATAAGGTGTCCTGTTTTTGAGAAGCACATTCATTTTTCAAATGGAGTCGGGGTCCGCAAGACAAGGAACTAGAGCATTGAAAATTGCATTGTAATTTGCTTTGTTATCATATTAATTCAAAGTAAAACCTTACTATAATATTCTTCAAGGAATTAATTATACTTAAAATGTTCTCTAAGCTTTTATTCATCCATGATTGAACTGGAATTTTTTCCTGAGATATGTGTAGTATGTTTGTGGCACTATTTCTTAAAAATTGTTTCCATATTAAACCTAATTTGAAAGTTATGCATTCACAGTACAACATGCTGAAAAAGTATTATGAGAAAAGGAAAAGAAAACAAAAGCATCCTATAGTGACCTAGTCTCCTAAGGTCGTTGTAAAAAGAAGATTAAAGCAGTTTTATGACTATTGGAAACGATTTTCTGAAGTTTCGGCTAACTACAAAAGATTCAAGGAGTCTACTTGAAGTTCTAATCAATCGTCAAAGAGTTGAATCACTGATTCAGGATTGACAAGTTGTGTTAATTAGTAATGATCTTAGTGCTGTCGTTTCAAAGTTCATTTGAAGTCTTGTGAAGGAGAGTCTGACAATGTTCTTTCAGACGTGCAAGAGAAGTTCTCTCCAATTTTTATTTGACTGTTCATGTTTAAATCTTATGTTATCCTTGTTATTGGTTTCCATCTGGTATCGTAAGTAACAAGTTAATCTTATATCGTCTAAATTGGTATGATTGTTCCAATCCTCCTTTATTTCTTTTGCGTATGCATTGGAGTATTTATTCTCTTGCCTATGTGTGTTGTGTGATTTATATATGTTTGTGTATGTGCTGCATTTGTGCATTAATTCCTTAATTGATTAAACACTCAATGCATCCATTTAATTTATATAGTCCGTTCATTGCATTCATCTACATCTTTCATACATTCATACATCGTCATTATTTATGTGCATTAAAATAATTTTTGCATTCACATTAAAAAGCATTTGCATTATAAAAAACTCAATCATTTTTACATTCATACATAACATAAAATACATTTTCCATAACATTAAAAATATTTTCATTTTTAGTGAATTACATTTTTTTTAAAGTATCATCTTTCAAATTTTATCAAAATGTTGTCTTTTGACTCGAATCAATTTGTTATAACAGAATCCGTGATTTAAATCATTTCCTTGAGATGATGCATTTCACTTTTGATTCAAATGAAAAAATTTCAACTGATCACGTGATTCGAATCAATTTTCTAAGATTCAAGACTGTTCAATTTGATTCGAATTAAAATTTTAACTTGATCTGAATCAAAATATGAAAGGTAACATTGAAGATCATTTAATTCCAGTTTTCAAATTTTCAAACCACATTCCATCATTTTCTTCTTTCAACTGTTATAAACCTTAATTGAACAAAATTTTCAAAACATCATCATTCATCATCTCTACTCATCATCATCATCATCATCTATCATTTCCATTCATCATTATCATCTACCATCTCCATCCATCATCAACAATGGCATATTAGCTTGGCTACAAAGGAAGGCTTGACAAACAAAGGTCCAATAAACAAGTTTCCACTTCCATTGATTCTGAACCTCCTGTTCTAATTCTAAAGAGGTCAATGACAAAGGTACAAGATAGTAAAGCATGCACTGATGGGGTTTTGAGAAAAAAGGATAGAAGATCATTTGTTATAGGTTCCTCTTCTCTAACACTTTTGTGTAGTAAAGTAGCTCATTTGTTACCTAGATAGATTACAAAAATACCAAAATAAGTTTCCTTATAAGCCAGTTGATCTTGAATATTTTGTTGATGCTACTACTGAAGCTGAACTGAAAACAAAAATCTTAAAACTGTTTGCTGGAAATCATCTGCTAAAGTTCATTGGCATGAAAAGGAAATACAATCCAGAATATGTCAAGACTTTCTAATGTAATTTGGAACTCACTTATGCATGTTTTGAGAGTATGTTCAAGAACAAGGTTGTGAAGTTTGATTACTCTGATTTCAACAAATATTTTGGTTTATCATATGAGGGTTCTAACATGTCTAATGTTAAGGAGTCTGATCGTGATAAAGTTTTGTTTGTTTTTTCTATCGCCAAATCTGTTTGTGAGCACATGAAGATTCAAATTTAAGGATTAGTTAGATTAAGTTTGATATGAGGTTGCTACATTGGATGGTAGCATTGATGATGACCGTGATCTCTTCTTGTTGTGGAGTCTCGCTCATAAAATAAAATAAAACAACTAGGTTAGATTCATTATTGATAGGATGATCCACTGTAGGGGTAATCTCAAGAGACATATATTTTTTTCATGTTTTATTCAAATGGTTCTTCAACTGAATGGTATTCAGTGCAAATATGAAGAGCTCACTGAATCTCCTAGATTCTTAATTATGATGTTGTGGCCAAAATGAGATACTACAAGGATTTAAATGGTGATTACTATTATCTTGAGGACTCGGGTAGACAGATTTATGATGATAAAATTGTTTAGCATGTGAAAGAAGTTGCTGAGGTGACTGGTCCATCTGCTGATGGTGTTGCTGTTGCCTCTTCTACATCACCTGATGTGAAGACGCTCATTGATGACATGCTTCATAAATTACTTGCAGGTCATGAAACACATTGATACCCTTGTGCATGTTGGTGAAAAAATCATATTAAGGGTGGAGATTGAGTTAAGGGCTGAGGTAAAGGAAGTGATTCAAGCTTCAGAAGGACGTCTGCTTACTCAGATTGAAGCATTGAAGAGCTCAATTGATTATCTTGGTAGTAATAATTTCATCTTCCATCACAACATTGCTACAACAAGCATTCTAATTTCGAAAGACACTAGTGTTACACCTTCTCCACCTTCTTCTGATTTCTTTTATGATGCTATTTAATGATATCATTTTTCATGCATATCATTTAGCATTCTCAACTATAATTATATTATTTTGGTTTTGTATGGTTTGGACAACTATGTTGTGATCTGTTGATCATATTTTTTTTTTGTTTAACAACTTTGATCTACCATGTGAATGTTGTGATTTTAATTTGCGTTATTTGGTATCTTTAATATTCATTTTGTTTTTGTAAAATTATCTTGT